ATGTTGCCTCTGTCAGGTTTCTTTGCTGCAGAGTGACTCACTTTTCCTGCGTACTGTCTTTGGAAGGTCACTCTGCACAGGTCGTGCTATGTGGGGCAGTAGTTCTGTGCCTCCCCTTGGGCAGAATAGCCACATAAATTGAAGATTTGCCCATTCTTACCAATTCCTGTATTTAGTCAGTCATACTGACCTGTAGGTGTTTGTTTTTTACTTTGGGTTATGATCCAGTACTATTTTACTTATTTTGCTGCTATAATTGTTTTAGCTTTATCCACTGGGAGCATTTACTTAGCTTCTGTGTTGTGTCCCTTTGACATATCCACATGGGTTTTGTTTGGGTTTTTTAATCCTTTTTTGTTGTTGTTTTTGTTTTTGAGACTGGGTCTTAGGGTTGGTGGAGTGACTCAGGTGGTAAAGCGCCTGCCTATCAAGCGTGAGGCTCTGAGTTCAAACCCCAGTACCGCAAAAAAAAAAAAAAAGAGAGAGAGAGATTGGGTTTTGCTATGTTGCCCAAGCTAACCTTGAACTCCTGGGCTCAAGAGATCCTCCTGCCTTAGCCTCCAGAGTAGCTCCATATAGTTTTTGTTTGTTGTTTCTGAGCACTTGCTTACTTTGTGGTACTGCAAGATGTACAGGCTACATGCTTGTCTTGTATATTTTCTGCTCCAACCTTAGACTCTGCTGTTTCCTCAAAGATCCCTGATTCTTTTTTTTTGGAGACTAGAACTGGAAACCAAGAACTGAGCATTGATGTGCTCATGACTACTGGGTATTGTAGCTTCGTGTCCCTCTTTCTAGATGGAGCTAGCTAGGCCTGTGCATTCTAATCATGTATACATACATCTATAATTATTTCAGTATATATCCTTTTGTGATCATATTAAGTGACAACATATTGATGTCTCCAACTCTAACTTAGTTCAGTCACTCTGCCTTCCTTGCTAATTTGTTACTTGTGGTTTTGACCAAGCACTGTCAAAATCAAATGAAAATATCAAAAGTTTTAAATAATGCTCATATGTATTACATAGCTTAGTGGATGTGGAGAAGCTCAGTCAGTCCTACATTATTATTGGTTTTGTTTTAAGTTGTGTGATCTGCTCTTAATTTTGTAAAGATACACTTTCCGAAAAGCACATGGTACCCACAAGGCACTTTTGTTAATGTGCTTAATTTAAGTGATAAAGTGAAAATTTTAGATATGTGGAAAGAAAGCATGTCTTTAGTGGAGTTGGGCAGTGTTTTGGAAAAAAATGAATCGCTTGATTCATCTACAGTACAGTGCTGAATTCTATACATCCTGAGCATTTGTGGTTTTCCTCAATGCAGGGTCTCTGTACTACACTGGTCATTATAGCCTTCCCCCCCTTATTATCTGTAACTTCAGTCCAACAGAGGGAAACATGGATCCCATCATACATAGTCCATTTACTTACTGTTCTGCCTCAAGGGGACCCTACTGGGCCATCCAGAGTGCAGTGCTTGGGCCTGGTTCCTTTGCTTTTAGTGTTCTACCTTCTCATTTCCAAGTTACTTAGGTGCCTCTCTCCCACCTCTTTCAGTGAGGTTGTGGCCTCTTGTCTATATAATACCAGATTCTTCTGTCATAACCTACATTCCATCCTCTGATCACGTCATCATTTACTTAAAATTTTCAGGCATGAAGGTTTGTTCTTTGTGCTGTATAGTGGATTTTTTTTTTTCCAGTCTGTGAATGAACCCAGGGCCTTGAGCATGTGAGGCAATTACTCTTCCAGTGAGCAACACCCCCACCCCATGTTCAGTGAATTTTGAGATGCATTCACCCCTACAGTCCTATATAGAGCACTTTCACTACCATGAAAAAAATCCTCTATGGTTCACCTACTCAACCCTCCGTAAGCCCTGGCAACCACTGATCTGTTGACTGGCTTTGGATCTTTGGTTTTTCCTTTTCCAGAATGTCCTATAATTGGGTTCCTACAGTTAATCAGCTTTCTCATGTTACAACAAAACACCTGAGAAAAACAATCTAAAAGGAAAAAAGATTTATTTGGTCTAATAGTCACTTGGTTCGTTGTTTCTCTGGCTGGGGTGAAGCAGGGCACATGGTGGAGCAAAGCGTCTTACCTCATGTCGGCTAGGAAGCAGAGTACAAACTAGGGGCCAAGGACAAATTATACCCTTTGAAGGTATGCCCCCACTGGCCTACTTCCTCTCACTTAGGCCCCACCTGTTAAGAGTTTCTGTCACTTCCTGATAGCACCATCAAGTGGGGACCAAGCTTTCAACACAGAGTCTTTGGAGACATTCCAGATGCATATTCACAAATTCTAACATACAGTTGGTGGAGTAGGTCAAGTGGTAGATAGAGTTCCTGCCTAGCAAGCACAAGGCTTTGAGTTCAAACCCAGTACCACCAAAAAAAATAATAAATTTTAAAAATTCTAATATACAGTGTGTATCCTTTAGGCTGGCTACTTTTACTTAGCCATATGCATTGTGGGGATTGATAGGTCATTACTTTTTATCATTAGGTAGCATTCTATCCCTTGGCTGTATTGATGTCTTTTTTGGGGAATTGGTGGTGGTGGTTTGAGACTAAGTCTCACTGAGTAGCCCAGATTTGCTTCAAATTCACAATCCTCCTGCCTCCACCTCCTGAGTGTGCTGCCATGACCAGCCTGATGTCTTTTAAATCTCTTACTCTACAGGTTCTCTTCATCCCTTTCTTTTTCTTAGTGTTTCTTACAGTTTATCTGTTAAAGAACTTGGCATTTTGACTTGTTGACTTTCCCATCATCTGGGTTTTGCAGATTGCACACTCATAGTATAAGTTCAAAATACTTCTGACCTCTGTATTTCCTGTGAATTGGTTGTGAATTCCTTTAGCAAGATCTTCAATAGTGCTGGATCATCCTTCTACCATACTCCTATCTTTAGCACACAGATCCTGCCAGCTTGATACCAAGTCGACAAAAGCTTAGATAGGAAGTAGGTGAACTCAGTTTTCAGGACTAAAATTACCTGCCTGATGGATAGTTGAGTCTTTTCCTTCCCTTTTTGTTTTATGTTGGCCAGCATCTATAGTGGAGCATTAAAAAACAGAAATTAGAGTAGAATTTTGGTGTCAGTTGGGCTGGTCGAGTGGCTCAAGTGGTAGAGCACCTGCCTGACAAGCTTGAGGCCCTGAGTACAAACCCCAGTACTGCCAAAATAAATAAATAAAAATAAGTAAGAGGTGTCAGAACTTGGTAGCAACTCTGGTCAGACTCTAGGAACATGGATTAAATGAGGCTCTAAAATTGGGTCATTCTCTTTACACATGTAGTTGAGACTTGGGAATCACCTTCCACATTCAAAGGAAGCATGGCCTAAGACATTGGTTCTGAGGCTTTTGTTCCAGCCCTGTGTCTGCTTAGATGTGTGATCCTGGCCAGCTCCGAGCATCTCCAGGAGTTCATGGCAGAGGAAGCTGCTCACCTCATGTTGGCCAGGAAGCAAAGAGAAAGAAGAAGGGACTGGGGTCTGAAAAGCCCCTTCCATGACACACCACCAATGACTTAGCTTTCTCCCACCAGACTCCACCTCCTAAAAGTCCCACCTTCTTAAAGCACCACTAGCTGGTGATCAAGCCTTTAGTAACACATGGGTTTAGGGAATACATTAAGATCCAAGTCATAGCAGTTTCTTTTAGTGAGGTAAAAGTCACATAACATAAAGTGAATTGTTTAACCTGTGCACTTGAGCAGCATTTAGTGTATTCACATGCTGTGTGGTCACTACTCACTTCCACCAAGTTATAGCACGTTTACCTGCTTCCTGCCCTCCTTGTCTCTGTCCCCTGGAAATCTTGGTTCTACAGTATGGATTAATCTATTCTGAATATTTCACATAAGCAGAATTACTACAATATGTGACCTTATGTGTCTGTCACCTTTCACCTATGATTGTATTTTTATCATGTTATATTAGTGCTTCTTTCCTTTTCTGGGAGAATAACATAGTGTATGTACCACAGTTTGTCCATTCAGCTTTTTTTACCCAGTGGTTTTAGTATTCATTGATTCTTGCTTGAGTCAGTTATTACTATGACGAATTATGATTTATTACTAAAATGAAGAGTTTTGTATTTTTATCTTTCCACTGTAGTCAATAGATGATTCTCTTACAGAGAAGACTTTTAAGAGAAGGCTAGTGTGTGCCTGTGTTTGGTGTTAAATTCATATGGACTTGGGATTGTTTTTGGTTGATTGTTTTTGGTTTTTAATTTGTTTGTTTGAGACAGGATTTCAGTAAGTAGCCCAGATTGGTTTGGAACTCACCAGATACCCCAGGCGGCCTTAAATTCATGATCCTCCTGCCTCAGCTTCCCAAATGCTGGGATTACAGGTGTGCATCCTCACCGCTGGCTGGGATTCTTTTTTTTAATTCAGTATAAATAATTCACTCTTGTTATTCATGATTATCCTTATTGTGCCAAGATGCCGGCCCCTCTTCACACGGTGCTGTAAAACAGCATGTTCTTGGGTAGTGTGGATGTATAGAATTGTTTATCGTTTGAATTTTCTGCAGTTGAATTGTTAGGGTTCTGTGGTCTATTTCTTGGTTCTTGTGTACTGCTTTGATTCAAATCCTTTTTTTTTTTTTTTTTTTTTTTACGGTCTTTGTTTTTTTTTGCTTCTAAAGTTGCTGAGTTCTTGAAACCTGTATTTTCAAGCCTCAAATTGATACCTGGGTAAAGGTGGCTAGGTATGTTGCTCACCTGGAGTGGGGACAGCACTCTCTTGGGGCACCCGTCGGGACTGGGGAGAATGCAGTAAATATTTCAGTAGTTCACTGAGTTTTAGTTGAGCTAGTTTTGAACTAAATTACTTTTGAGGAGTTAAAGGATACATAGGGTGATCTTTTAGAATAATAAGAACTTGAAGAAATTCCCAATTCTTTCTCTTATCACTGTTTTTCCCTTTGAGAACTCCTCTTGAATCACACACTGCTTATCGATTCTCTTTGAATTTCAGGCGAAGTCCTGCGTTTGCCATGTCTGTGGCGTCCACCTGAACCGGCTCCACTCTTGCCTCTACTGCGTCTTCTTTGGCTGTTTCACAAAGAAACACATCCATGAACATGCGAAGTCAAAGCGGCACAACCTGGGTAAGGCACCTCCTGAGTCAGGACAGTCACTGCCCTCAGCTTGCAGTTCACACCTCCAAAAGTCCACTTTTATCTGAAATGATTTGGGTCCTTCTTGGAAAACTTTATAGGGAAAAAAAAGATAAAAGTGAGCTCAGGTGGGTTGTACCCAGTTTCCTTTATGGCTTTTTTTATATTGGTGTTAATATTTTATGTAACCTTAAGTGATAGCGGGCAGTGGCTTTCTGTGTTCCACTTACTTGCTTTGAAGTGTAGATAGGAAATTTTTAGTGCTTTCTCTGTTAATGAATATTAGATTCTCATCTTTCCATTTTGAAACACAGGACCTAGATTAGACAAAAATTTGCAAAGAATGATCTTAAATGCAGCCCTTCCTATCTGTAGGTTCAACCAACCTCAGATACAAAATATTCAGGAAAAATACTTGTTTGTTACTGAACATGTACAACATTGTTTTGTCGTTATTCCCTAACTAATACAATAGCAACTGTTACATAGCATTTGCATTGTGTTAAATAATCTAGAGATGGTTTAAAGTATACAGGAAGATGTGTGCAGGCTATATTCAAATACCATTTGTTTATTTGTTTGTTTGTTTATGTAAGGGGCTTGAGCATCTGCAGATACTGTTACCTGAGAGAGGTAGTTTTGTAACCAACCCTGTGCAGATACTGAGGCATGGCCATATTAGATTATTGGCATCAATGTGGAGTTCTATGTAATATGTGATCTGTTATTACTTCCAGCAATGGATTTTCATTGTTTCCAGTAATGCAGGCTCATGAAAAACCTAATTCAATATCATGTGGCATCAAGATAAATTTGCCTTTCATGTACTTAAAAAATTCAAACTTATCCTGCATTCTGGAAGTAACATAAAGCTCAATTTTACTCTTTTATTTTCTGACAGATGTCAGTTTTTCTTTCTGTCCTGCAAAATAATGTCTTAGGTTAAATGCTTGTGCGATTTTGTTTGGTGGGAGTGGGGGGAGTGTGTTTGAACTCAGGGCTTTGTGCTTGCAAAGGCAGCACTCAACAGATGAAGTCACACCTGCAGCCCTGCTTGTGAGCTCTTTAGGATATGCTTCAGAAAGTCAATTTGAAAGGATCCAAGCCAGAGCACCTGTTTTGGAAAATACTTCATGCAGGCCTAGCAATTATGTTAGGAAATATTTGTAGGCCTTTCCCCCTAAAATTCTGTAATCTCCTGCTCTCTGGAAATCGTTAAACTAAGAAGTTGTAATTAATGTGATGTAGTTTGTGAGGTTGTTGCATGAGTCTGTGTCCCTTAAAGCTCTCTGTAAGCAGTAAAGGATGGGTCCAGTGGTTTTACCCAATACCCACATGTAGAACCTGTTCTTCTGATTGTTTCTTTTAAAGATTTAAGACAGAACAGATCTCTGATGTGATATATTATATGAGTCAGCTGTTATTATGGACATGTTGAGTCGGTCACCTAATTTGTTTTTTGCAACAGCTATGATGTATAAAGGAAACATTTCTAGATGACGTTCTGGTTCATAATAAAGTATGAAAATTCACAAAACAAATCCATTCGTCACTTCTTTGTGTTACAGTTTCCCTCAAGTTTTGTAAGGGTTTTTTTTTTTTTTAGTAGTAGAGGTGAAATTACAGTAACTCATTTATCTCCTGTGGACCTATCTCATTTTTAACTAAAATTAACAGCAACTGTTTGCCAAAAGGGTGCTTGAAATTGGGGGGGTTCAGGTTAACGATGAGCTATCTGGCCTGTTTGGAAGGAGAACTAATGGACACAGAGCCTGTCATCAGCTGTAGACCCAAGGAAAGAGACCAGGCAGTTAATAATGATTTATTTAATTTTTGCAGTGCTAAGGATTGAACCCAGGGTCTCATGCTAGCTAAGTAGGTACTATATCACTGAGCTACATCTGCAACCCTCATGATGACTTTTTACATTGACTAAGGGAAAAGATGCTGATGAAGGCAGTGTGGCTATAGAAGTCTACCATTCCCACTTAACGTAGATGTTTGCTTTTTTTTTTTCCCCCCTCAGTACTGGAGTTTGAACTCAGGGTCTCATGCTTTCTAGGCAGGTGCTCTATCACTTGAGCCCCTCCACCAGCCCTTTAGATACTTGCTTTAATATAAACGAAGAGTGTTCCCACCATATCTCATTCTCACATCAGTTTAGACTGCGAATTATTACACCTGGCTCTGATTGAGCGTTGCTAAAAGGATTATAGGAAATTGGAAAGATACTTGTGCTTAAAGTTTTCTGGAGAACCTTATCCAGCATCATCTACAGAAATCACCTTTAAAAATTGGTGGTGATAATTCATTTTTAGCAAACTGATGATTAAACTCTGCCCTTACTTAAGCTAGAATGAACGTTCTTACAAAGTTTGCTTTAAAAAAGAAACAAAACCATGGTATATAGAATGATCCAACTCTGCTGTGTTAGGAGTCCATGACTTTATTAAAAGTTTCATGTGCCTGTATTAAAACTAGAAATTAGTTTCATGTTCCTTTAAGACATGTTTTGTAAATAGAATTCTTAACAATGTCACGTCTTTGATTCTGTGCCTGCTCTTAAGGGCTTGTCCACCTGCAGTGGTTTTTTTTAAAGACACATTTATTCATTGTGATGATCAGACTATTACATTTAGCAATAAACAGCATGGGTGCCAAAAAAAAGTCTGCATTAAAATCCTTTTTTAGGAATGCTTTACACTTTCTGCAGAACAGACACAATTAGTCACAAATAACAGTCCTTAATACACATGACTATTGTCTAAAACATGTTGTGTTTGTGCCACCACTGTGTTTGGCTGAGTTCACAAATCTGTTGTAACCTGTAGTTTCTCTGTCACTTCTCTGGCCCTGTCCTGCTAAGGTTGATTTCCTGGAACCGCGGTAGCCACCTTGGTTTCATGGTTTAACAAGGTATTGGCCTCCATTACCATAATGGCTAGAGCTTTGGCCTCCAAAGTTTCCTCCCTTCCTGGGTCCAAAATTTGAAGATTGATGGTTGTAATTGCCAGAATCTTTGTAGCTTCCATCACCTCCAGATCCATCATCACCAAGCTCATTGTAGCCGTCTGCACTGCCACCATATCCAAGCACTACCATAGCTAACACCAAAGCCACCTCAACCACTGAAGTTTCCTCCCTGATCAAAATTGTCATTGCCACCAAAACCACCTCCACAACCACCATCAAAGTTTCCAGAACCACTTTGAATTGTGCTTTGTAGTAGGTTTTGAAATCAGGAAATGTGAGTCCTCAAACTCCATTCAAGATTATCTGGCTGTTTGGGTTCCTTGAGATTTCTTACCAATTTTAGATGGATTTTTCTCATGTATGAAAGTGGAAAAATGAGACCTGTTGACACTATTCCAAGAATGGGGGAAGGGAGGGGAATAAAGGATAATGATGGTGGGGGTGAATTCAACTATAATACATTGTAAGAACTTTGGTAAATGTCATAATGTACCTCCAGTACAACAATAAAAAAAATTTTTAGATGGATTTTTCTTTCTGTTCTTCTTTGGTTGGTACTAGGGTTTGAACTCAAGGCCTCCAGCTTGCCTTGAGTGGTAGGTGCTCTACCACTTGAGCCACACCCCCAACCCTTTTGCTTTAGTTATTTTGGGAATAGGGTCTTGCACTTTCGGATGCGATCCTCCTATTTATGCTTGCTGTTTAACTGGGGTAACAGGTACGCACCACCATGCCCAGCTTTGTTGGTTGAAAGGGAGTCTCACTAACTTTTTTTTGTTGGGGCTGGACTCAAACTGTGATCCTCCCAATCTCTGCCTCCAGGGTAGCTGGAATTATTCTGTTTCTAGAAAAAAAGAAATGTGTTTGGGTTTATTCTAGCCATTACATTGAATCTGTATATCCTTGAGTAGTGTTGACCTTTTGTTTTTGTTTTTGTTTTGTTTTGTGGTACTGGGGCTTAAACTCGGGGCCTCCACCTTGAACCACTCCACCAGCCCTTTTTTATGAAGGGTTTATTATTTTTTTGAGATAGGGTCTCACGAACTATTTGCCCGGCTATCTTCAAACCCCGATCCTCTGATGTCTGCCTCCTGAGTAGCTAGGATTACATACATGAGCCACTGCACCGAGCAGAATAGTATACAATATTGTCTTCTAATCCATGAGTATGAAATGTCTTTCCATTTATTTAAATCTTATTAAATTTCTTTCAGCATATTAGTAATATAAGTCTTATTTTACCTCATTGGTTGAATTTATACCTGAGTGTTCTTTTTGATGCTATTATAAAAGGAATTGTTTTCTTAATTTCTTTTTCAGATTGTTCATTGCAATTGTATAGAAACCCAGTTGATGTTTGTGTGTTGGTTTTTGCATTCTGTGGCTTTGCTGATTTCTTTTATTATTGGGCTAATAAAAGCTAGAACTGGGAGGAAGAGCAGACTTTTGGGCTTTCTGTGTATAATATCAGGTTAATTTGCAAACAGATATGTTTACATCTTCTTTTCTAAGTTGGGTGCCTTTTATTTCCATTTCTTGCATGGTTGCTTTGGCTAGACTGTGCAGTATTGAGTCGATTAGAAGTGGTGTCCTTGTCTTGTTCCTGGCCTTAGAGGAAAGGCTTTCAGTCTTTCACCATTGATTGTTATGTTAGCCATGGGTTTTTAACATATGCCCTTTATCAGATTGAAGAAGGACCCTTCCATTACTAGTTTATCCACTGTTTTTCTTCTTTTTTTTGAGATGCTGGGGTTTGAACTCAGGGCTTCATGCTTGCTAGGCTTACTAGGCAGGAATTCTACCACTTAAGTCATTCTACCAGCCCTTATCCACTGGGTTTTTCTTTTTTAATCATGAAAAGATACTGAATTTTGTTACATGCTTTTCCTAAATCAGTGGAAATAGTTGTGTGAGATTATTCCCTGCATTCTGTAATGTATTAGGTGGGTTGATTGATTTTCATATGGTCAACCATCCAAGCATTCTAGGAATAAATCCAGCACAGCCATGGTATATAA